ACACCACCAACAGAAAACGACATCACCACATAAACCGCCGCCGCCGCCACCACCAACACCATCCCCCAACAACCACCACCACCACCCAATGAAAATGACCACAACCACCACCGCCTGCACCAACCACCGCCGACCACCAAAACGCAGCAGATCGCACCCACAACCACCGCCTCAGCCACTGCCAACCACTAAATCGCAACAGATCGCATGCACATACTACCGCCACAGCCACCACCACATCGCAGTTGATCGCACACAGCTACCACATCCGCCACCACCTAAATCGCGACCCAAAATCACCATGAAAATCGCTACCTAAAAAAGATAAGGAAGGATAGCAGCGTCGTGACCATAAAAACACATCACCGCCACAACTACCAACAACTCATCGCCGCCAGAACCAACGTCACCGAAACCACCCCAAACCACCACTACCACCCCACAAACAACATCAACACCACCACACACCCCCAACTAGATTCACCCGTCGCTCTCAGATCTTCTTCCACGGGATTACGCCGCCGCCGCTCTTGTCGCTGTGGTGTCGACGATTTGAAGGAGAGGAGAGAAGCCGGTGGTACCAGATTTCGACATTGGCGGCGGGAGAAGAGAGAGAGGCTAGAGATGAGAGAGAATGCGTAAATGATTTTTTGATTTTTAGGGTTTGGATAATTATAATGATTGAAATAAATTAATATTTAATATTTAAAATGAGATACCTGATTTTTGTATAAATAAACTTCAAACCTGATTTTTGAATTGTAAATTTTAAATACCTATGTGGGTGTAATTTCCTCTTTTGGGTCTCGATTTGGGCCCCACTTTTATTCTCAGTGTAATTTCTTTTTAGTTTAAAAAAAAGTGTGAAAAAGGTTTTTCTAACTTTTTTTTTTAGGTATATCTTTGACATGTTGGTTGGCTCGGTACTTCGACGATCTTGTTGATTGGCTTGGCTACTTCAACAAACAAATGGAAGTTTTGGTTTCATTTATAGTTGGTTTATATTACTATTTATTTACCTAAAGTTCACGTGACCGAATCCCTTGATTTGTTAAATTCTCATTTTACCTTCACTTATTTTACGTGATCGAATTTTGACTAATATTTGACCACTGCTTTGCTATTTTACGTGTATCAACAGTATTAGCTTGTCATATTTAAATTTACATAATTAAAAAAATTTATTTTCATTTTAAAACGAGTTGTTCAGTGATCTTTCCATACACTTCATTTCGTTCATTGCATGCAGTTGCGTATTGGTCGTTTTGTTGAATCTAGCTCTAGTATACTTCATTTAGCTGGTAGTATGTTGCATGCAGTTGCGCAGTGGTCGTCTTATCATATCTAGTTTCAATAACCTGACTATAAACCCATCTCAATTTGATGCCCTCACCAAACAATTAGCACAACTTGCCATTAACCAACAACAGTGCCGAACTCAATTAGCAGCTATCCAAACTGAGATGATTACTAATCTTGAAGAGTTAAGGAGCCTAGCTGCTAGTCTGAACAAGTTTAAGCGAATCTCTCATTCGACTGATGTTGATAATTTTGAAGTGTCCTATAATAGACAAAATCATTGTCGACAAGGTGATCAAAAATACTTTTGACGCGATTGTAGGGATATGGGTGAGGTTCACGAGCGAAAACGAGGTTATAACCATCACAGTACTCATTCTCTTCCATGTCGTAAGGAGCATTTCTTTAGAAACAATAAAGTAGATACTCCTACTTTTGATGGTTGCTTAGATTTTGAAGTTTTTACTCAATTGATCGCCCTTAAACAAGAAAATCGATTAGTAACTGAGTATATTGCTGAATTTGAGGAATTTCGAATGAAATGTCATGTCAATGAAGATGAGGCCCTGACTTTGAGTATGTTTAATCAAGGTCTAAGAGATGATCTTAGGTGTGAGTTTTTTCTTCGGGGTGTCACTACTCTTGATCACGCTTACTCTTTAGCCCAAGATTATGAGTTGATTATTGGTACTCCATATGAAAGGCATGGCGACAACCATACACCCATCTCATCAACACCACTTCCTCTTAAGTCTATTAGGAGGCCTTCTCCATCAAATGTTTCTCATGTGTTCGAAACTAAGGGTACAATTTCAGAAGTTTCAAATATTTCTTCCCACCTGCAGTGCTTCAACTGTAAGGACTTTAGCCACATCTCTTCCAAATGTCATAGCCGAGCCTTAGTCATTGAAAAACGAAAGAATACAATAGATGAGTGGTTAGACGATCAAGTCTATGAACCTAAACTTGACGAATTTGATGACTTTGATGATAGTGAGAACACCTCATTACCGTATTCAGACCTTTCCTAGGAATCTATGTATTGTACCCCTTGTTTTCGATACTTCTAGGTCAAGTGTTGTATGTCGTACCATTATCCAACCCAAATGTGCTATTGATTTATGTCATCATACCATTTTCAAGGAAAATCTTGGGAATCAGGATTTGATCCTCCCAACAGTTCAACTTACATATAACAATTCTGTGAATCGGTTTATATGTATGAGTCCCTTTGAAGTTATTTATGGTTATGAGCCTAGGAAGTTTTTGGACTTTATTCCCAAGTCCTCACATGCTAATATATCTATGTCAGTTGAGGTAGTTGTACCACATCTTCACGCCTTACATGTTGAGATCAATGGACTTGAAGCAAGTAATGTATCATATAAATTTCGAGCTAATTTGCATAAACGATATTTTGAATTTAATATTGGGGATTATGTTATATTGCAAGCCCATAGTGCTAATCCTTATAAAATTTTAAAGCATGTTGGTTCAAATGCATATGTCATTGATTTTTTATCACATTTTGGCCACCACTCTATTTTAACTGCTAAGAACTTCGTTACTTACAAAGGCTATTTTAACTCCTCTAATGATCATTTTCTACCTCCACATGGGAGCTCCTACACTGAATATTTTGTTATGTCTACTCCAATACTTCTTATTAGAGCATCCACAGATAAGATTGATGTTATTTTAGATGAACAAGTTGTATTGACCAATGATGACGAAATTCAGTACTTCCTTATTTGTTGGGTCAACCCACCTGATTCTGATTGTCCATGGTTTCTGAGAAAGAAACTTAAGCAACGTGATCCAGATTCTTTCGAACTTTATAAGAGTCAGCAAGATCTTCCCACGCCCAGGTCACCATGGTCAGATCATATTCTTGGGGATAATTTGCAATTGGTGTTGGCATCATTTGTTGAGTTTCGATATTTGGTTCTTACGAGAGATCGTCCCCCGTGGTAGAAGTTTATCTACTTGACGGAGTCGAATTTTCTCCCACCCCGAGAGAGTTGATGCGGACATCATTTTTATTATTTACGTTATATTACTATTGGACTTGTATTAGTGGGTTGGCCCAAGCCCAATACTAATATGTTTAGGTTTTTTCTATTTATATAGTTTTCACATTGTAATTTAGACAAACGATATATGAATGAAAATTAAGTTTTGGCTTGTTGCCAACATTTTCCTCCCCTACTTATCCCCTTTCTCTAGTTTCTTCTCCGGTTTATCCCTCCTTCTCTCTGGTTTTTCCCCCTTTCTTGCTGCCTTCTATTCTATCATGCATCAGAACCTTTTCCTTTCACTTCCACGCTTGAAATCAATGCAGCAGGGGAATATATATTTTATATAGATACAAGTGTGTGACTACTGTAAATTGTGTATCAAGCTATTTTATAAAACTCAAGTCCATGGATTCATAACGGAAACTCATAAATTAATTCCATTTACACGAACAACTAACTAGGGTCTTAACCAAGCCTTCATCAGTTACAAGTTCTTCCCGAACTCCAACATTATATTTGAATAAATCAATCTAGTTGGAAATGTATAAATCTTTTGCTGACTTTCAATTTTTACTTATTTTTGACTGAAGTCAAATAGAATTCTAGTTTGTTGGTGGGATGCAAATTCTATTCTTGAATGTGGATAGAGTAGAGAGGGGGCTGCGGTTCCGATATTATAGCTATAAAGGAGTATTTGAAAGAGATGATCAAAGTCAATAATAATATTGCGCATTTAAATTGTTGGTGTACTGCTTCAGACAATAAGCCTTAAGCACTGCAGAAGTAGTTAAAGTTCAAGGGAGGAGTAGAATAATCAGTCGAGAGTATTTTGGAGGCAACAATTGCATTGGCAGCCTCTGTGTAATGAATTCCATCCCAGCTTACATAACGAGTCCCTTCCTCACAAACGCTGAATCCACTGCTCCGGCATGTAATGTTGGCATTGTAATTGTACGGCACTCCACCATATCCACAACATGCCATCAAAGGATTCTCAAAACCTATTTATACTCACTCAAATAAGTAGTTGAACAAGAATGACAATATCATGGAGAATTGGAATTTTGAAAACAAAACTCACCGTATGAGGCAGAATTGGAAATGAGATTATACTTGATAGAGTAGATATCCACATAGACAATAGTGGTGCCTTTTGTTTGCGATCGTAGCTGTTCACATAGTGCATTTAGCATCATGTTATATGCTTTTGCAGCTTCATTAAGAGACTTGATGCATCCATATTCATCGAAATCGTTGGCATTGGTGTTTCTAGTGGCAAGTTTTGCAGGCAAACAGCCCAGTGGCCCTGTGTTATGCACCCAGAAATTCCTCCCACCCACTTCATATATCCCCTGTATTAGAATTCAATTAAAAAAAAAACTTTGAAGGCTAAGAATTTAATATGATTATTAAATAGAAAGAAAAGACTCACCAACATAACATCTCTAATTTCAGAAATGAAGGAAGGTATCTTTTTAACAACATCAGCGTATGAAAGGTAGGTAAAAGCATTTGCCAGATCATTTTGCCCTATGTCGATCGAGTAAATTGCATTCTTGAAGTCCTTCTCCCCAACTAAGTTTTTGAAACCTGATGAATTGTTCTATATCAAAAAAAAATGTAAACTGCCAAGTGAGTTTCTACATAGGACACTCACTGTTATAATCATACCTTTAGATCCAAGCTCTAAGGAGCGGTTCTGGAAACGTTTGAACTCACGAAATTGAATATGTAAACTGAACGGAACAGATCTAGGGAGCGTCGATGAGCCACATATTGCAAAGTTAGCTCCAGTTGTGAAATTGGGTGCCAGTGACTCAAGATAAGGAGTCAAATAATTGGTATTCAGACTTTCACCTGTGAAGTAAAAATCGGGAGAATATCACATGTTACAGAGTGCAGTGTCCAGGATATTATCTTTATTATAGATCATAGTCCACAAAGTAAAATAGCCAGCTTTGCATTACCTACGAAATATTGATATTGGAAAAACAAAACGGAGAGAGGAGAGTTGAGAATCCCCACTAAATCACGTGTGGACAGTGATAACACTAACTAAAATGATGCTTAAGCTAAATACAAAACATAATATTTGTCATACTTGTCGTGCTGTTTGAGTTTCCATTATATTAAGCTACTGGAAATGGGGAGGGATAAGCTTTTTGGTTGCTGCTGAATGATTGGAGATGATCCGATACCTTTCACTAAAAATACCTAATGCCTGAAACATGTTAACAAAATGAAAAGAAATAACTTACATAGGAAATCGATGATTAATCTTCCATCACATAAGCGGCCAGTTGGTTGATGGAAGAAGGTGCGTGCATCGGGATCTCCAAGGTTTAATCCAAGTGCAACGGCATACCCACCAGTATCAGAGTTTGAGTCGCCAAAGTTGAAAATAACTGGATTTCTGTTACACTGAGAAAGAACAGAAGGGAGAACGAAGAGAGAAATTATAAGAGTGAGTAAAGTAGAGGGAAATCCGATTTGCTTCTCGTCCATATTACTCACTCGTGAGAAAACTAAACTAAACACACTAATCAGCACACTTATATAGTTCTCAGGTAGTATTGTTTAGGCACAAAGAAACGTGTATTTAATGCAGATACTGATATATTTACATTTGGAGAAACTTGTGAGAGGCAGAAAATACTGTAATATTGTTGATTTTGTCATCAAGTGTCATGTGATGTTGATTTGGTATATATTCTTTGACAATCTGGCCAAGGTCATTATGTTTTAAATGAATAATTCCAGCATCATGCATTTCATTCCATTAATCTGCCTCTCATCAACATTCAGATATAGCTCATCCACTTAAGAATTAACTGTTTATATAAGAATAACTTCACTCAGTGCTCAACAATAACTTTAATAGAGTTTTTATTTTCTGTAGTTTTGGTATCAGCTGGGTCGGCTCAAGTCAGTGTATCAGCAGACTAAGAACTTGTTAGAAGAATTCTCAGGATGAAAAATCTCAAGTTTTAGATGACAAATACACATATGGAGCACATGGGAAACAACCCTTTTAGAACATTAATGTAAAAATATCACCAAAAATGTCATTTTTTTCTTGACAAGATCTTAATTCTTTAATGGTAGCTATTTTGCGGATTCACTAACAAATCTGAATCCAGATCAACATGAGGAACAAAGAAGGTTAGTAGTTCCATGCATACAAATATTTGGAGAACTCGTGATTTTAAATAAAAGGAAACAAATAATTATTGTGAAGGGAAAAATGGTACAAGGGATAAATTCATATTTAAGGTGTATTCTTTACCTCAATTCAAAAATAGGGTAAATAGATTAAAAATTCAAAAATCAGGTATGGATTAAATAAAGATAATAAAGTCACATTTTGTGATTAATGGTCACATATTCATAATTTTAAGTTACAGATTTATTTACTGGTCACATATCGTCAAATTTTTTGATCCCAAATTATTTCGAGGTCACATATCAAAAAATTTGTACGTCACAAATTATTTCGAGGTCACCGATTTTTAAATTAGTTGGTCAATATTATTTCGAGGTCACAGATTTTTAAAGAGTCACGTATTATTATATTTTTAGGTCACATTTTGAGTAATTGGTCATAGATATTAACAAACATTTGGTCACAGACTACCGCCGCTTGGTCATAGGTCACAGATCGATCAAATGCTTGGTCACAGATTACCAAACATTTGGTCACGGACTACCGCCGCTTGGTCACAGGTCGCAGCAGTCACAAACCACCACACCCACAGCCACATAACACACACAACAGCAGATCTGCCACTACCATCAATAGATCCGCCCACACCATCAATAGATCCGCCACCAACGACATATTCGCCAACAACCAATCCGTTACCCCACAGATTCGCCACCCACACAGATCTGCCACCCACAACCAACCACCAATCTGCCACCTCACAGATCCGCCACACCCAATACTCCGTCGCAAAATCACAACCCCAAACCAATACTCTGCCGCCCAATACTCCAATCGAATCAGCACACCCAATACTCCACCGCAAACCACCACCCACAGTAGCCACCCACCACAACAGCGTTGGGTTCATCGCAGCAGCGAGTCGCTGCTGCGAATCGCAGCATCATGCGCTGCTGTGGTCATCGCAGCAGAGGGGAGGGGGAGGGGAGGTGGCAGAGACCGCCGGAAGAGAGAGGGGAGGCGAGGCGAGGTGAGAGAGAGGGGAAGGGGAAGGAGAAAGGTAGGGAGTGAAAAATTAGGGTTTGAGTTTTTATATATCACCTGATTTTTGAAAAATTAAATTTGGTCCCTGATTTTTGAATTTGAAACTTTAAACACCTGAGTTTTTATAATTTCCCATGGTACAATGATGCAAGTGACCCAATGGGCTGAAATGTTGGAGGCCCGTTAGCTGAATAATTCGGTTTATACATGGTGCAAGAAACGTGTTTCTGAAATGCTTTAAATCGTGTAAAAACTTACCTAATTTTGGATGCCTAGGATGTCCCCATGTGTCGCCTCCTCAGTCGTTGGATTAGTGACTATTGAGAGACTCATTTAAGGGCTTCTAGGGTTAGATCACTGTACACTTTTGGCTTTTGAGATATTTCATTCTCTCTCGTTTCTGCGCTGTTTTCTAGAGTCTTCTCCTTCTCTGTTGAAATAAAAAATACTCTTTTGATTTCTTGTTACTCTCTCAAATCTGAGTAATCTTGTGTGATTATTGGTTGAGCTGAGTTGTTGTTTGTTCTTGTGTGAACCGTTTAGTCGAAGGAAAGGTGTTTGTGATTTTAGGGTCAAGTCTGAGTGTCTATCCTTTTGTAATCTTACTTGGGGTTTGATTTGAACATGAACAGTGGTTGTTCTTCAGTGATTTAAACACTGGTTGACATATTCTTGGCCTGACAGCTTTGACAATAAAGATACATATTATTTTCAGTTTCTTGTGTTAATCTTTTACAGTTCATTTTGGATTCCTTTTAGCATATATATTTTGGTTGATCTCGAGCTAATCTGTGAAACTCCTCCCAACAGTGGTATCAGAGCGTCTGGAGGGAGTTCTTGATACTGTGTGCCCTCGATTTTGACACTGTGACTCTTACTTGAGCTGCTCTTCGTGTTTTCTTGAAACCCTAAAAAGTGGTTTTGGTGAGATCTTTCCATTTCTTGAATTTTTCACGTGTAAATCAAGCAGTATTTTGTGTTTGAGTGTTCGGACTCGATTGGGTGTTTTTTGACTTGATTGAGTTTTAGTGTTCGTTTGAGTTTTCTACTTAGGTTGAGTTTACTGTATTGTTTGGGTTCTTCTGCCTCATGTAGTTTATTCTGTCTTGTGGTTTTGAAAAACCTGAACTCTTGACTCCTTGTAATTCTTTTGTTCCGAAATCAAGAGTTGTCTGGAATCTGAGG